TTTCCCCCCCCCCCGGGCTTTGGTTTTCACCCCCCCCCCCCCCCCCACCCCAGCTCTCGCTCTCCGCTGCCGCACCGAGTTGTCGCGGATGACGTGCAGCAGCTGCTGCCGCACGCCATAGATTGGCAGGAAGGCGCGCTGCTCGGCGATGCTCTTGTTGCGGCTGAAGTCCGAGTTCGCCTGCAGCTGCAGGATGTCCCCAAACTGCGCATCCTTCTTCGCCCTCGCCGCAGCGTCGCCCTCGCCCTCGCCCTCGCCGCTACCCTCGCCGCCGCCCTCGCCGCCAGCCTCGCCGCCGCCGCCGCCGCCGCCAACGTACTTGTTGATGGAGAAGGAGTCCGACTGCACGTCCTCCTGCCGGCCCGTCGGCTCCGCCTCCTTCTCCGGCGCCTTGATGCCGATGAGGTCCCCGATCTTAGTGCCCGCCTTGCCGTCCTGCAGGCTCGCCTGGGTCGCCTTCCTCTTCTCCCGCTCCTCGCGCATCGAGCGCAGCAGCGCCGACCCCTTCTTGGCGAACTGCGCCATGTCAGACGTCGGGTCCTTCACGGGCAGCACGACGGCCTGCGGGCGAGAGAGGCGGCGAGCCATGAGAGAGAGAGGTCCCAGCGCCAGAGGCGCCGCCTGCGCCTCGCCGGAAGGGGCGCGGCGGGCCTGCTGCTTGGAGGACGACCAGAACCTTCTAGGACCCTTCTAGGACCCTTCTAGGACCCTTCTAGGACCCTTCGCCTGCTGCTTGGAGAGGACGACCTTGCCGTCGAGGAAGGGAGGCTTGAGGTCGTGCACCACCACGTGGGTCCGCAGCTCACCGTCCTCCTCCTCCTCCGCCCCCTCCCTCATCCGCACCATCCCCGACGCGCGCAGCCTGTCCTCCTCCCACCGGTCAGCGTCGCGTGCGCGCGCGGCGGCACGGTGGTTGACGCGCTTCTTCATCTGCTCCTCCCGCTTAGCGAAGAGGGACTCGTCGCCGAGGAAGGGCTCGTGCGACGAGTCGACCACGTGCCCACCCTCGAGCCCCTCCGACTCGTACCTAAAAGGGGGGCAGACGCGCGCGCTCAGCGGCGGCTGGCGAGTCCACCCTCTCCCCGCCCCCCCCGGCTGCATCGCACCACTCCCGGTCCAGGTCGCGGGAATCCTCCTCGTCGCCCTGCACGTCGCCCGCGTCCTCCGCCCACTCGGCATCCTCGCCCTCTGCTTTCCCCTGCCCCGCCTCGCCGTGCCGCAGCCCCGCCGGCGTCGGCAGCGGAGTCGCAGAGATGTGCGAGGCGGAGCCCGTGCCGCCGCCCGGCGTCTGGCTCATCGGCGTGTGATCGGCGACCAGGACGCGCGGCTCGGAGCCGAAGGCGTTGCGGTCGGCGACTAGCGACGGGTGGACCGGAGACGGCGCCTCCCAGTCAGCACTCGAGGCGACCGAGTGCGCCGGCGACGGCGGCGGGCGGAATCCGCCGGCCGTCGCCGGCTCCGACGATGAGCCGCGCGTGGTGAAGAGGAGGCCGTCGGAGGAGCGGAGGCTCTCCTTGACCCGATGCATGATTTGTGCCGCCTTCTCCTCGTTGACGCCGCCGCCGTGCGAAGGCGTCGGCTCGCGCGGCCGCCGGTAGGTGCGGCTGCGCGCCCCTGCGCCGCCGCCGCCCGTGTCGTCGCCCTCCTCGGAGAGGTGCGCCAGGCGTGGCCGCTTAAAGTTTGCCGCCGGGGGCGGGCCCATCTTCTCCTTGAGCTGCGAGCATGGGATGGCGGTAATTGAGGGCGGGCAATGTGTGTGCGGGCAGGCGGCGGGCGGCGCCTTTTGTGCCGCGAGCTGATCGAGCCCAAGGAGTGACTTGCCGCCCGAGAAGGCGTGGCGGTTGGCGCCGGGACGCGACAGCAGCCCACCCTGCTCGTTAGAGAGGCCGGTGAGCGAATCCGCCGGTGCGGAATCCGCCGCGTCCTCGCCCGCGCCCACGCCCATCGCCGCACAAAGGCAGCCGGCAAAAGAATTCGACACGAAGATATTGAGGAACTTGACGACGGTGCTTAAAAATCCCTGTGTGGTGGCGGCGTGCCGTCCTCCCATCCCTCCCTTGGGTTGTCTGTTTTCTTTCTTTCTTTCTTTGACGACGGTGCGGCATGCGTCGACTACCACTGCCCCACAATTCTCCGCTTTGTCCTCCACAAGTGCTACGCGGTCAGTCATGTTTTGAAGGTCGGGACGAAACGTGGCAGCTGACAGACGAGATGGCTTTAGGGACATGCACATGACATGTACATGTACATGTGCATGTGTCCCCGCACGCCCGCAAATGCAAGAGAAGAGCCCCACGACTCGGAACACGAATGTGACAGGACCATCGGGTCCTTCAGCCACCAAAGTGAGATCACCCGAGAGCAGCGCTGAGCCTGCCTCTGGCCTCGCCTCCCTCTCCTTCAGGCATTCGTGGCATCCTATGGGTCGTCCAGAGTATCGACCTCTGGCTTGTCAGCCGGTCACTTGATGACACCATGAAGTACAGCGATCGCCAACTCGCTGGCCTCTCCGGGCAGGCCCCCCCGACCGCGTCTCGAACTCCATCTCGGCGCGGGCTCTCTCGGCTACGGGACCGGCCCCAGCTTCGGCTGAGGGCTAACAAGCTGCCGAGCCCAAATCACTGTGAGAGCCGTGATTTCTTGTTGGTTAATAAAAATCAAATGCACGCAATCTTGGCGGTGATAGTGAGGGCTGAGACCTGAGAGGGATCTTTCAATAACGTCCGTCGGTCTGCCTCTTCATAAGGCAAGGTCAACGCACAACGGACAGTTGAAATTTGCAAGGACTTGACAGCAAAAAGAAGAGAGTGCGTGGAGCTCAGAGAGCCACCCGCGCCGGCTCGGGGCTCGGATCTCTACTAGAGTGCGTCGGGATGGAGGTTCGCGTGCAGACAGGAGTGAGGAGACATCAAGGGTGCGGCCAGGCACGCGGCTATCGCTATCGGAGTCTGCCCCACACACCACAACAATCTGCACTCTCGCGCGCGTGTGCGGTTGGCCCTCGGAAGAGCACGTGCAATCTCACCGAACGCGCATCCGCGAGCCACCCCTCTCAGTAGTCTCGGTTGAGCGCAGCCTCGATCTTTTGCAACACCTGCGGGTCGACGAGCGTGCCGTCCTCGTCGAGCCAGAAGACGGCGCCCTTGGCCCCAAAGGTTGAGAACGGGTGGTATGAGCCTGGGAGGGGAGGGGGGGGGTGCAGGACCGACGCGTGAAGCACGGGCAGCGACGCGCCAGGGACCGGGCGGCACTGCGCGCCGGGCCGCCCGATCTCGCTCCAGTCACACTCAGTGGTGTGGACGCCGCCGAGCAAGGTCGGCGTGTCGATGGCAACCTTCTTGCCCGGCAAGGCCCTCATGCCGAGGACGTAGGTGCCGGACACCCACGCGAGCATCCCTGCACGCGCGTGCAGCGAGGAGGGGGGGGAGGGGTCTAGCGAAGTCGAGGGGTCTAGCGCGAAGCGCGGCCACGCGCCTGTCGTCGACCCTCCGAACAGCACGAGCGTCGCGGACATCGCCACGCCCTTCGCGCCATTGCCGTCGGCCGAGGTGAGCACTTGCAGCACCGGCGCCGAGGCGAGGGCGAAGCCTACGGGGAGGGTTGGGCCTCGGTCGTGGGAGAGGCTCTCGGCATGGGCTGCAAGAGGCGGGGTGGGGGAGGAGAAGGCGGAGGGAGAAGAGAGGGGGGTCCGCGTTCCGCGCCGAGGTTGAGCACGCTCGCAAGCTTAAGGCGCCTACCGTGCCGCGAGACCGACGTGAGCAGGAGATCACCGCACGTGGGCAGCCGCTCGAAATGAGGAGCACTTGACCATCAAGTTCTTTCCTCCCTCAAAGAGGACACCCTCGTAGCTGTAGTCAAGCGCCTCCTCGGTCGCGGCCTCAGCCGCCGGCGCGGTAGCCTCCTGAAGCGTCCCGCGGTGGCCATGGTGAGAGGAGGCATGGGCCGCGAGCCGCGACAGTCGGTGGTCTTGCAGTGCTGCTATGCTGCCATCACTACAGGCCACGCTTGGCATCACCAACAAATGTCTGGAGTGAATTTATTACGTGTGTGCAAGCAGTCACGTGCAGAGAACAGCCAAGTGCACATGCAGTTTGTTGCGGGCGCCTCTTTAGCGCGCAGGCTGCTGTGGAGCTGGCGGCACGGAGCGACGGCGGCAGCGCGTGGGTGAATCGCGAGTGGACGCGGCGCCACGCGGCATGCCCGCGGCAGCAGCGCCAGCGCGGACGGCCTTCCGAGCGCGCAGAGTGGTCGGCGCAGCATCCTGGAGCGCCGAGTCGCGAGCAATCAAGGTCTGCGGGCAAAAAAATAAAAGAATAAACAGCACATCCCGACTCGCTCCTCAGCGTCGCCGCGCCTGTCGCGCCTGGCGATAGGCGTGCAGCAGGTCCATCATCACCGTGCCCCCATTGTCGGCAGGAGCGGCAGCGGCCGCGGCCGGAGGCCCGACGTGAGCATGTGGTGAACGGAGAATGGGCGATCCGGTGCCCAGCGCCGGTGACAGGAGCGTGCTGGCGGCGACCAGCAGCACATTGCCGCTGAAGCCGCACCGCATCGCGAATTTCCAGTAACCAGCGAATTTCCAGCAAGCGTGGCAAGTTTTGTTTTGTTTGCGTGGCAACGCAAATCAAAAATTGCTTCCGGGCTTCTGCAAAACAGAGCTTCGGCAAGTGTTTCTAGCACATCGCCGATGTGCTATGGGCTTCGTGCATCTGTTTTTGAGGAGTTTCTGGCACTCGGCGACTTCCATAAGAACGGGCCCAGAAAGGCGAGAGAAGCAGCGAGAGCAAGAGATCGGCAGACGACAGCGGCGTCTCAGAACGAGGCCGTGGAGAGCGATGAGCCAGGGGAAGAGACAGCAGGAGAGAGAACGACGAGAGTGGGAAGAACGCGAGGTGGCATGAAGGTCGCTGCGAGAATTGGTGAGAAACTGCGAAGGGAGATAGAAAGAGGTAGACGCCCGAGGGTGGGCGACGGCTAGCACCACACTTCTCCCCTAAAATCCCTGTGTGGTGGCCTGGTGGTGGCGGCGTGCCGTCCTCCCATCCCTCCCTTGGGCTGTCTTGGAGCACTTGGAGTGCAGTCATTAGCCTCACATCCAGGGCCGGGGAGCTAAGGAGCGCACCCAGCGGGCCGGATGATCGGGATCGGGTTGCGGGCAAGAGAGCCCTAGCCCCGGGGGTGCGCGGTCGCAGGGCCATAACACGTCTCCGAGGGATGGTTCCGTGTACCGGGTTTGTTTTCTTTCTTTCATCCCGACTCGCCGTTGCCAAGCGCCCGGCCTGAGAGTGCCGAGTCGAGCAAGCCCCAAATCTGCCAGTCGGCGTGGTGCCGCGACACCTCGTCCTCTTATGCTGGTGCAGTTTATCCGTCCGAGTGACGTCGGGCGCGCGCTCTCTGAGTTCGCTCTCTGCGTCGCAGCTCGGCAAAGCAGCCTCCCGTCTGCTCGACCAGGCACTGAGCCTCCTCGGGAACGCCCAACTGTGAGCTCGCGATGGCCGATGCGTGCGAGAGACATCGGGTCGAAGAAATGGCCGGCCTGGCAAAGATTCGACAAACAAAGATTCGAAGGGCAGACCTGCACCGTGACTTCACAGATGGCAAACAAACGCATCTCTCTCTCTGTTATGCGAGGCGTGAACCGCGCCATTCGCTCTCACCTTGAGCACTTGAGCACTGGATAGGGTCGATTCCGCATGGTACGGGACCCCTGGCAACCCTGTCTGCACGTCTCGCGCGCGCGTGAACAGGGCAAGCGGTTGGGGGGTGCGAGCCCGTGCTATAGTGCAGTGAATTCTTACTTCCTGAAGTAACTTCATCCTTCAGATAGACACTAACGTCGCCGCGGCGCGAGCTGCAGCAGCCACCGCGTGCAAGAGCTGAGGGAGATGTGCGCAGCGCAAACGTGTTGAGCGCGCACACACGTCCTTTGGGCGGCTCGCCGGCTGCGGCGAATAGCGAGGCGCCCGGCATCGAGGCATGCTGCACAGATTTGGAGACAAAGGTGCGCCGTCCATCGTCGAAGGCGTTGAGCACACAAAACTCTCGTGGCGAAAACAGCGCTGGCAGTGGCGCATGCGCCTCAGCGACCTCTAGTCGCCCCCGTGCCCAGCGGAAGCGCTGCTTGTACTTGGCAAAGTCTGCGGGGTCTGAGAGCGGGTCAATGAGTTGGAAACCCTCCGGCGACGTCATCAGCCGGTAGACGGCGGATGCGCTGACATTGGCTATGGTGAAGGCGCCTCGTGTCAGCAGCACACCGGAGCGGTTGAAAGGACCGCGATCGATGCGGGTGCTCTCCACGCGCGCTCCGTCGGCAGCCAGGGCTGTGTACCAGCGCAAACCATCCTCTTCCCAGATGGATGCCGCCTCGCGATGCATGGCCGCGGCGAAGCGACGAGCATCAGCGCCACCGCGGATGTGCGCCTCACCCAGCAGAGTCGCGCCGCCGGCGCCTGCCCACCGGAGCGGCGCGAGTCGCAGGGCGCCTACCAGCGCTGCCACCGCAGCGGCGGCGAGCAAAGTGGACGCAGCCTTCCGAACGGCATGGACCCGCTGGTGTCAGCTGCCCTCACAGGAATCCTACCTAGGTAGGAATCCGCGCCCCCCCCGCAAGGCGCGCGATACACAATCCTATCTCTCTCCAGCCCGATGTGAGCAAAGACCTCTCGCGCGCGCGTGAACAGGGCGGGGAGTCGGGTGGGTCATCGGCGTAGCTAGACCTAGAGGCCCCATCACCGATGTCGTCGAGTGGGATGGTTGTACCTCCTCCGTTAATAACCACGTCGTCGCCCACGGTGCTGCTCTCCCCGTCGTCTGCGTCCGTTGGGATAGATGCGTCTTGCCACTCCGGAGCGCCGCAATCCCTCGCGCCGCTCCTGCCGAGGTCAGCTTGCTTATCGACGTAGTCGTTCCACTTATGACCAC